CTGGCTCGATTCAGCTGTGGATAGACCCAGTCCCTACTTCTAGAATCTTCCAGGGATAATTCTCATCGCCTCCTGCTCATTCTACACCCTGCAAAGCCCCTTTCGCCAGGTTCTGCCAGGAAAGTCAGGCCCTGGGAATTCCCAGGCATAATCCCTTCTCAGATGGGGTGTCTGTGAGGGGGCGCCACGGGGCACAGACACATGTGGCAGGGGAGAGTAGGGTCACAGCTGCCCCACCTTTGCCATGGGCCTCTCCCCAGCCTACTCCTGGGCCTCCTTAGAAGCTTGAGGCTGTGAGAATTGCAGCTCCCTGGCCTTGTGAGAACTGAAGGTTCCCTGGCCTTATGACAACACAAACGGAAACAAGAAGTTCCAGAATACAGGGTCCTGTGGCCAAATGGGAGAGGGCACAGGGCCAGGGGCCCCGGCCAGACACAGGCCCAGGTCTGCAGCTGGCCGGCTGAGGCTGTGGCGCCCGGCATTGTCTCAACATGGCCCTGGAGCTCTACATGGACCTGCTGTCAGCACCCTGCCGGGCCGTCTACATCTTTTCAAAGAAGCACGACATCCCATTCACCTTTCAGTTTGTGGATCTGCTGAAAGGTCAGCTTCCACTGCTGCCCAGCAGGCCTGGTCCTGGGGGGAGGCAGGGCACACAGCTTGGGGCTTATTTTTTTTTCTTGTTTCTTGATGGAGTCTCGCTCTGTCACCCAGACTATAGTGCAGTCGCGCGATCTTGGCTCACTGCAACCTCCACTGGATTCAAGTGAGTCTCCTGCCTCAGCCTCCTGGTAGCTGGAATTACAGGTGCATGCCACCACATCCAGCTAATTTTTAGTGTTTTTAGTGGAGACTGGGCTTCACCATGTTGGCCAGGCTGGTTTCGAACTCCTGACCTCAAGTGATCTGCCCACCTCAGCCTCCAAGTGCTGGGACTACAGGCATGAGCCACCACACCCAGCCTGATTGGGGTGTTTCTGAGAAGTAGAGACAGAGACAAGGGAGTCCCCTGAGAGGTCCACGGGGAAGGAAGAGAAGCCAGGGGGCTGTAGGCTGCGTCCCTACAGCCCACCTTAGCCAGTCCCCACTAATGACAGTTCTTACACCGGAGATGAACAGGCTCTTCTAGGGGAAGGGGGAAGGAAGAGCGGCTGGGACTCCCTGGGCTCCCACCAGGCGCCCTCACTTCCTGGTGGGAGTCTAGGACCTTGTGAACGCAGCACCTGCCTGCCAGGTTGGCAGAGGGGGCAGAAGTGCACAGTCTACACCCATCCTCCCCAGTGTTCCGAATGGCTCAGGGCTCTACTGACCCCAAGTGAGGGTCAAAGGTCTGGGCTCCAACTCCATCCCAGGCACACAGGGGCTCCAAGAGTTCAGCCTGCAAAAGCAGAAGCCTTTGGAGCACAGAGGAAGACACAGAAGCTGTGGAAAGAAACAGGGTGCGAGGGGAGCCCTGGAAATGTTTCCAACAGGAGGCAGCTGGTCCAGGAAGAGCTTCAGTTCCTGCCCCCACATCAGGTTCCCTGTTCAGACGACCCCAATTGCATCCAAGAGGCTCCCCTTTGGATGTCCAGCCGTGTGCTGGGCCCGGCTTCCTTAGAGCAAGGACAGAGCGAGGGCGATGGGAGCGGGACTAGGACCCAGGCCCTCAGGGCTTCAGGTGATTCAGAGGCTGTGGCTGCAGATCCTGCTTTGTGGGCGGGCACTGGAGGCCTGCAGCTTCTGGGCCAAAGGGTCATCCTGGTCCTGGGACACAGGTAGGAGGCACGGGAGTCACCAGCCCTAGGGTGGAGCAGGCTGGGAGCCAGCAGTTCTTATCCCAGTCTGGTTCTGCCACTGCCTTGCCCTGTGACCTGGGGTGAGCCTCGATGTCCCTCCAGGCCTCAATTCCCTCTTCCTGAGAAAAGAGGGAGGCATTTGTGTCTCTGGGAGTCTCAGTTCTCTCTCCCCTGGAGTCCCACAGCCTCGGACCTTTCCTGCTTCTCCCAGGTCACCACCACAGCAAAGAATACATTGACATCAACCCCCTCAGGAAGCTGCCCAGCCTCAAAGACGGGAAATTTGTCTTAACCGAAAGGTGAGTCTTCCCCAGAGCCCTCACACTGTCTGTCTCTGCTCCTCCTGGGAGACTCAGTGGGAGCATCTGTCTATTTACCACGGAAAATCTCACAGGTACACTAAAGTGGAGTGAATGCTGATGAACGAGGGTCATGATGAACCCCGCAAACCCACCGCCCAGCTCCAACTGCTGCCAACTTGGGGTCCATTTTACATCAGTTCTGTTCCCCTGCCTTCCAGACACCCCATCATTTCATAATGTCTAGGGGCCAGCTCATGTCTATAATTCAGCACTTTGGGAGGCTGAAGCGGGTGGATGGCCTGAGCTCAGGAGTTCAAGACCAGCCTAGCCTAGACAACATGGCACAACCCCATCTCTACAAAAAATAAAAAATGTAGCCAGTGTGGTGGCCCGCACCTGTAGTCCCAGTTACTCAGGAGGCTAAGGTGGAAGGATCGCTTAGGTGGAGGTTGCAGTGAGCCACGATTACGTCATTGCACTCCAGCCTGAGCGACAGAGTGAGACTCCATCTCAAAAAATAAAAATAAGTAAGTAAATAAATCAAAAAACGTTAGAAACATACCTCTAAGAGGTAAGGGTTCTTAAAAAAAAAAAAAAAAGGCGGGTGAGGTGGCTCATCCCTGTAATATATGCACTTTGGGAGTCTGACGCGGGAGGATTGCCTGAGGTGGGGAGTTTGAGACCAGCCTGATCAACATGGAGAAACCCCCTCTCTACTAAAAATACAAAATTATCTGGGCCTGGTGGCGCATGCCTGAAATCCCAGCTACTCAAGAGGCTGAGGCAGGAGAACTGCTTGAATCCCAGAGGTGGAGGTTGGGGTGAGCCGAGATGGTGCCATTGCACTCCAGCCTGGGCAACAAGAGCAAAACTTAAAAAAAAAAAAAAAAAAGCAACAGGCTGGGCATGGTGGTTCATGCCTGTAATCTCAGCACTTTGAGAGGCTGGCATGGGAGGATCACTTGAGGTCAGGAGATCAAGACAACAGTGAACTCTGATTGCAACTGCACTCCAGCCTGGGCTATGACAGAGTGTAGCATCACTACGATACCATCAGATACCTAATACAATTAACAGTAATTCCTAGAATTATCTACTATCTGGTGCCTGTTCAAAACTCTCTGATTATCTTCTAAATATTTTCTTGGCAGTTTCTTTGGATCAGGTCCAAAGGAGATCTGAGTCTTGCAGCTGGTTGCTGGGTCTCTCTTCCACTTTTAATCCATAGCTCTCTCCATGCCCTGACCTTTTCACCTTGGCATGGCTGCTGTGATGATGACAAAGGAACCCTTGTCCTGTGGAGGTTCCCATAGCAGCCATCAATCAGCAAGGCCTAGGACGTCCCCTCTAAAGCATGTCTCCCTCCGTCCCCCC